AAGCCACCATGCCTGGCCTGAACCAAAGACCAAGGAAGTACCTAGAGGTGACCCAGGCCTCACTTCTCAGAGCCAGCCCTTGTCCCACAAGGTCAGCTGAGACCAGATCAAGAGATGTGTAGATATTTTTGTCACCTCGTGTAGTAGAAAAGACAAATCTACTAGGAGGTCATTTGTTCTCAGTAAGTTTTTCTTGCTGGTCTTTTCCTTACAGATCCGTGCCAGCTATGCCAAGCCTGGGTCACCAGCGGGTGTTGGGGAAGGGGTGGGGGTGTCCACCCACACTTGCCAGAGCAGCACACACGTGGGACCTGGGTGCAAAGGCAGGACAGGGCCAGGTTTTGGGCTGTGAAAACTGTTCCTTGTCGGTCTGCTGAAACTGATCTCTGATGGGATTCTGAAGCCTTCCCAGGAACAGGGGGAAGGGGTCCTCAGAGTCCCCCTCCCTCCTTTGCAGACCCACAGGAAACTGGCAGTCCTGGGGGGTCTTCCAAACCCTGGATCACTCCAAGAGAGTCCACATGGCTGCTGGGTGCTCTGTGTGTAATTACCCCAAGAGCTGGGGTATTAGTCTGTTTTCCAACTGCTGGTAAAGACATACCCACAACTGGGCAATTTACAAAAGAAAGAGGTTTAATGGACTTAAAATTCCACATGGCTGGAGAGGCCTCACATCATGGCAGAAGGCAAGGAGGAGCAAGTAACGTCTTACATGGATGGCGGCAGGCACAGAGAGAGCATGTGCAGGGAAACTCCCCCTTTTACACCATCAGATCTCATGAGACTTATCCACTGTCACAAGAACAGCACAGGAAAGACCCGCCCCCATAATTCAGTGACCTCTCACTGGGTCCCTTCCCCAACACATGGGAATTATGGGAGCTACAAGATGAGATTTGGGTGGGGACACAGCCAGACCATATCAGCTGGGGACAAAGTCCACACCTGAGCCGTCACAATGGTTGTCCCTGCCACGACCCCCATGCCAAGAGCCCCACTTCCCAACCCATCCACCAGGCCCACTCTGGGCCTCACCTACGTGGACTCATGAAACCTGCACAAAACATCACCGAATCTCCTCCCTGCTGAGCAGAAGGGGACCAGGGTCTGAGAGCTAGAGTAGGTTACCCTAGTCACACAGCCACAGCCTGGGGAACACCAAAGCCAGTCCTGGGAAAAATAAGCCGCTGGCCCGGACTCTGACTGTGAGGGCCTGTGCTCTCACAGGGAAGGCTTCACTACAGGCACTGACCAGGGCAGGGCCCTCCACATTTGGGGCAGGCAGGCCCACTCTGTCCAGCCATAGCTCCCACTGCTTCTGCAGAAGGGCTCCCGGGGCCTCAGGGAAACACTGCCACAAAGCCCCTGCCTGCCACAGACCCCAGACTTGCCATCTGGGCCAAGGAGGGAGAGCTGGGGCTGTGGGAGTGGGGAGGGCTCCTTCCCCCACTGCCCTCCATAGTCACCCGGAGAGTTCCTGTCTCGCTCCCTCACTCTTTTGTCCAAATGAAATAATTTGGGGGAACCACAAAATATGGTTTTTATATTCAAAACTGGAATCAATTATAACTGGGGGTTAGTTAAATATTTCCAACTGTGTTTGAGCTCAGCTCTGCAGTGCCCAGACCCAGGGTAGAGGAGGCAGGAAGGTGATAGTCAGAGTTTTAGTTAGGTGGGAGCACTAAGGGCAGGGGCTATACCTGCAGGCAGCATCCCCCATGCCCGGTCTGCACACCCACCCCTGCACACCCAGCCTGCACACTCCACTCCTGTACACTCAGCCCTGCACAATTCAGTCCTACACGCTCCACCCCTGCACACTCAGCCCTACACAATTCAGTCTTGCACATTCTACCACTGCACACCTGGCACACCTGGCCTTGCACACTCCTCCCCTGCAGGCCTGGCCTTACACACCCAGCTCTACACACTACATCCTGAACACCCAGCCCCACCTAATTCAGCCCTGCATGCTCAGCCCTGCACAATCCACCCCTGCACACAGCCCTGCACACCACCCCTGCACACTCAGCCCTGCACACTCAGCCCTGCATAATTCAGTCCTGCACACTCCACCCCTGCACACAGCCCTGCACACTCAGCCTGCACAATTCAGTCCTACACACTTCACCTCTGCACACTCAGCCCTTCACACGTAGCCTGCACAATTCAGTCCTACACACTCCACCCCTGCACACTCAGCCCTGCACATTCTACCACTGTATACCCTGCACACCTGGCCCTGCACACTCCACCCCTGCAAGCCTGGCCCTACACACCCAGCTCTACACACTCCATCCTGAACACCCAGCCCCACCTAATTCAGCCCTGCACGCTCAGCCCTGCACAATTCAGCCCTGCATCCTCCACCCTACACAGTTCGACCCTGCATAATTCAGCCCAGGACCCTTGGCTCTGCACACCCAGCCTCCACACCCTGCCCTTCTTCCAAGAGAGAATGACCAGGGAGGAGGTTGGGCAGACACCCTCCAGCTTGTCAACTGCCCTCTGTGAAGACCGAATCTGCCCCAATCGGCCACTCTCCCAGGAGGCTCACTACCCAAGGGCCATAAGCTGGTCGCGGTGAGGATGCTTCTGCCCTTCGGGGACTCTGCTCCCCTCTCCTCCAAAGCAGATCTCAGCAGCTTCCCCCAAACCATGGCTTGTCCCTGCACCAGGTGGCAACATGGCCAGAAGTTTCCCTGCACTCCCTCAGACAGATCCGCCTTCAGCCCCAGTTAGGCCACTTGTGAGCACAGTTCGAGCAGCCGCCAAGTCTCCCCAACCTTGGTTTCCTCTTTCGTGAAGCAGATGAAGTGTGGAGTTAATGAGGTGACGCAGGCAGAGTGTGGCTCAGAGCCAGGAGGGAGCTCCCAGCCTCTGGCCTCCCTGCTCTGCGGTGGGTTCCCACGGTGACTAGGGCATTGGGCTGCTGTTCTGGCGCTGAGCCCAGGACCCAGGCATCATGAGAGTCAGGGTGGAGAGGCTGGCAGGGCATAGGGCACCTGAGCACACCTCACCCTAAGCACCCAAGCATGGGCATCCAAGCCTGATCTGCAGCGCTGGCCTGGGCCTGGGGGAGACAGGCCCCTCCCACTGGGCATGGAGCCCCTACACAATGTCAAACCCCCAAAGATGCAGAGATCCCCAGGGAGGCCCAGGCCCCTGCCCAACGCTGGACACTGAGCCCCCACCTGACACCGAGGTCCCCCACAGGCAATGCAGTCCTCAGTCGCCTCCTGCCAGCCCTGCGCCTGCTGGCACCCTAGGGCCGCCCATCAGGGCCTCATGGAGCAGGGGGCTCGGAGCTGGCTCCTGACAAAGATGAGGCGGGGGAAGGGGACTGACGTTGGGCAGGAGACCAGCCCTGAGGGGCAGGCAGGTGTCCTCCGTCCCTTCCTGGAGGTCATGGCCAGGAAAGACCACCCCTCCCCAGGGTCACCTCCTCGCCCTCTCCCAGGAACAGAAACCACAGGAGGCTCTGCTTGGCCGACTGGTGAGCCACAGCCCTGTCCCCGAAACCTCCCCAGCCCGCCCAGTCAGCCCTGGTATTTCTTCATGAAACCAAAGGCAAGCTGCGAGCATTGCCAACAGATTAGACAAATGAGGCGGAAAGGCCCTCGGGCATTTCTCAACTCCCACCTGTGGCCATGACAGTTCCCAGGGTGCCAGACGTGACAGTGAGAGCACACTCCGTCTGGCGTGGACCCCATCTGCCCTCCGGGCAGGGATGGGTCACCTCTGACCAGCTCGCACAGGGACAACAGGGAGGCCTCACCAAGGCCTATAGCCTGGATGTCACAGGGTAGTGACAGGGCAGGAGACCCAGAGGGGCCCTGTGTCCCCATGAGACAGCCAGGTCTCAGTCCATGGCCCGTGCCGCAGCCCTCCCAGCCACTCAACACCCAGGAAGCAGCAGGCACTGGCAGTGACTCGGCAGGGGCCGTCCCAGCCAACAGAGGACATTCAATAAACCCTCCGGCACCAACTGTCCGCTTTTCCAGCAATGACCAACGCCCCAGACTGCTGGCACCCAGCTCAGAACTCTGGGGAGACCCAGCACCTCCCCAGAGCCCCTCCTCCGCTCAGCCCCCGGTGGAGTGTGGAGAGGGTAGGGGTCTCATTCACAGACGTGGGGACCTCCTGGTTCCTGATTTCCTCAGATCCCTTCTGCTGCCTGCCTGGGCACCGAAGCATGTCTCTCACTCTGCCCTGGCATTGCCTGGCATGGAGCCCCGGTTGGCTGCCACACAAGCAGTCCCAGAGCCCCAGGACCACAGGGAGTGTTTCATTCTATCGGGATGGCCTGTGGCTTAGACTGCGCGCAGCTAGAATGAAGAAACCCAGGACGGAGCAGGAAGCTGCAGAGGAAGGGAAGACTCCCGCTTCCCAAGGTCCAAGGAATCAGGACAAACCTTTGCAGAGGTGCTTCTGCGGCTCCTCCCTGCATTTGCACGCACCTTTCCCTACAGAAATCCCATCACCCCATGGCTGGTCAGCCTGTCCCCACTCCCTGCAAGCAGCTCCGCCGCTGCCAGCTCCCCTTCAACCTGGTCTCCAGGGCCTGTGCGGGAGTCCTGTTGACAGCTGTGCTGCGGTGATTCAACCAGTTGCCTCGGCAAGGACCCCGGACGTCCCCCATCTTTTAACACTGAGGACAACGAGCGTCCGGCAAGGTAGCAGTGCAGCTGGAGACCCTGGGACCTGACTACCCCCTGCCTTTCTAGGGAGCAGCATCCCTGTCCATAAACAGCAAGATTGGACGTGGTGTGCACTATGACATGCTTCAACGCCGTCTACTGAGGGGGGTCCTCGGGGTCACCCCTCCCCTCGACACCCTCAGAGGGGCTGCAGGGAGCTGGTGGCGGGATAGCAGAACGTCCTCAGAAGAACATTCATTTACCCGGGGTGTCCCCTACACTGCTATGCTAGGGACAGCCAGTAGTCAACACACCTCACCCCTCACCCACAGGCTGGCCACGGCCAGGGGCACCACTCACCGTACTGACAGCGGGGGCCCTGGAAGCTGGAAGGATAGTGGCACGGCCAGGCAGAGCCTGGCACACAACGGCCACCGAGAAAACAGAGGCCGGTGCTGCATTTGGCTGCAGAGGGAAGGAGAAGATCAGTGAGAGTGAGAGTGGGACCTCCTCGCCTCCTTTAATGCCACCTCCTCCCTCCCCCGCTTCCAGATGGGAAGGAGGGTGAGGAAAAAAACAAAATAAGATACCAAAGAGCTGGGAAATGACTCCCTCTTTAGTTCCCAGCGTCTCTGCTATCGGTTAACCTTGAAGGATAGCAAATGAATGCTATCCCTGCCGGCTGGAGCCCGGCACTGGGTCACGCCCCCAGGTCTCCACGACCAGGCTCCCTCCTGGAAACACCTCTGCCAACAGACAGCTTGTTGCTTTCATCTTGTCTCTGTAAGCCCCCTCCCCAGCTGGTCGCCGCTCACACTGCATATGAATTAGCAAATCAATGAAGCCAAAAGATTGTAAGGTCGGATGTCCAGCAAATGGACAATGACATAGTCCTGCCTCAGTTTCCCCTTTAGCGTTGTAAACCTGTAAAAGGGGAGAAAAGCTGCAGCTCAGGGAGCTTGGTGAATGAGGCTGTTGCCCCCGCAGCTCCCAGCCGAATCAAAAGCCACTTCCTTCCCCAGTTCAGTGTTCGAGAGGTTTGTTCCCCGCTGCTCCTGTTTCGACAGGGGCAAGGAGGGGCAAGACAGGGGAGGCAAGCCCCGAGGGTCTCTTGGGGAGGCAGCCCACCCAGCCTGCCAGGTCTCCAGCCCCGTTTTCTCTATTCTGGGTCACACGCTGCCTGGCCCCCAATGGAGGCTGGCATGTCTCCCAACCTCCAGCCACTGCTGAATGCGGTTGGGGTCAGGCGGAACCCCTCCTGAGTGCAATGAAGCCCTAACTAACTTCGACTAGATGGGGAGAAGCCAAGGCCACGTCCTGGGGAAGGCGGGCAGGGAACGGGGGCTGCGGACAGGCAGGGGTAGGGAAGGTGGGGGTGCAGGGGGAAGGGGTAGGCAGTCCAGTGCGCAGCGCTGCACAACTGCAAGGGCTGGCCCCATACCCAGGGAGGGGTGGTCCCATACCCAGGGAGGGATGGCCCCAGCCCAGGCCAGTCAGACCCCCGGGAAGGGAGTAGGTAAGGTCCTGGCGGGTGGGGCACCAAGTATTGATAGAGGCTGCCTGGGGCAGGAAATCGAGGCCACGGTGTCTGGGTGGAGGAGGCTGCAGCTGGACCTGAGAGGTAGGGGGTGCTCTGTAGAGAGCGAGCGCTGTGAGGCTTGCCAGGCAGCTCCTCTATTGACGGCCCCACCGGCCTCACTGCCCCTCCACAGCCCCCCAGGCTGGACCAGGTGCCCCCGGGGGCTGCAGTACCAACTTCCTTCACCCGGCAGCCCCTACCCTGCAGGTTACTACTTGGGAGGGCAAGGCCAGGGTGGGTGGCTTCGCTTCACCCCTGAGGGGTGCTGGCTGGTGACTGCCTGGTCAGGGCAGTGACCCGAGACCCCCTGCCCCACCCCAGAGCCTGCGTGACCTTCGGGCTCAGTAAGCTTGTGTGTCACTTACGGCGCCCCTGCCAGGAGGGGAGAGGGAAGCTCTAGATGTTGGGGGTGGGGGGTGCTCTGCCGGGGACCAGGCCAGGGCTTCTGGGATTCCCAGGCACAGGCCGGGTCGGCTGTGCCTGATGGGAAAACCGAGGCTCGAGACTTCATTACCTGGCCTGGGCCACAGAGTGAGCTGTGACCACCTCAGGCTTTAGGGCCTGCGTGGCCATCCCATTCACAGATGTGCCCAAGGCCCGCACCCAAACCCGACTCTCTAACTTAGGAATGTGGGGTCAGGAGGACCCGGCCTGGGCCCACACGGAGAAACACGGGTCCCTGTGAATGCTTGTTCCTCCCACCCTCCTGGAATCATGGCCACCACCGCTGCCCCAGGCACAGGGGTCCCCCTCCCTGCTTGGGACCTCACACACATCTGGCCAAATTCAGGCCCCACCAGCCAATACCTGCAGCCTGAGGATGTGTCCAAACGAGACAGAGTGGGGGCTGGGGGGCTGGAGGAAAGCCGGATGGAAGCTGCCGTGACCTGGAGGCAGCACAGGAAATTCCCCGGGGATGGGGACCAGCTCAGCTGAGTCATGGGAAGCATCCTGTGCCAAGTGTTGAGGCCCTAAGCCTGCTGCCTCGTGCAACTTCGAGAGAAAGCCAGCTGCGTTCATCTCCCACCACAAAGATGGTTTTAGATTTTCCTTGTCCTGAAGACCTCCAGCCCCAAACAGCCAAGACTGACTGCCCTTGCGTGGGGAGCAGGTACAGGCGGGGAGTCCACCCCAGGACCCTGCCCTCCCCAGACTCCTGCTCTGCCGAAGGATCCAAGGCAGGACCTGCCCAGATCTCGGAGCCTGGGGGAAAGCGGCTACTCACTGCCTCCCCCACTCTGCTCCCTCCCTGTTTCCCACTGCTGCACCCCACCCTTCTGTTCTCAGAGCCCCTCTCAGGAGCCTCCCTCCCTCCCTGCTCTCCCAGGAAGCTTCTGCCTAAGTCTGAAACAAAGGGGAAGAGGAGTGTGCTTCTGAAAATCCCAGCCAGATCCAGCACCCCCACTGTCCCGGCTGAAGACAGTCTCTCAAGGCAGGCAGAGCTGACTCTCTGGCCAAGAAGAGGGCACACACGGACCCCACCACACTCGCACCTAGCAGGACACCAGGCCCGGGCAGCCATTGCCCTTGCTTCAGTGTCCAGGACAGACATTAATTGCTGGTCTCCATCCTGGGCTAGAAGGAGGACATGGAGACAGACATTGATGTCTGTCCCAGGCTGGAAGGATACACTACAGATGCTCCCTGCGCCCTGGGCCAGTCACTCCATGAGCACACGCTGAATCCTCCCAGCAGCTCAGCTAGCAGCTCAGACCAGGGGTCTGGGAGATATCCCCGTGCACCCTGCATCATTCCCCAGCATCCCGTCCAAAGCCCGTCCAGTCGGGTCCACTCTCAGAGTACCCACGTCTCTACACCGTGTTTCCACCATGACATCAAGGCCACCATCATCTCCTGCCCCCTGCAGACACCTCTTAGCTGCCCAGCTTCTCCTGCTCACTCAATTTCCATTCTCTACCCTGCTGCCATAGGGACTTTTTAGAATACAGCTCAGATCTTGGTTCCCCAGGTGCAAACCCTTCACTGGCTTTCCACTGACTTGGCACAAAACCCCGTGGCCCCCAGATCCTCCCTATCAGACCCTAGACTCAGCTCTCCCTGCTTGGAGGCCTCCCATGAGCGAGCTGCTCTCATGAAGGCTGTATGGACAGCTCTTCCCTTCCTCGAATGTCGCCTCCACGGTCTCCAAATATGGGCCCACAGCACCCCACCCCTCTAGTGCCTCTCCACTTCGATTACACACTCAGTTGGGGTGACAACTCATTCCCACCCCAGGCCCCGGGCTACCTGAGAGCAGCCGCCAACTCCGTCTTGATCGCAGGTGTGCCGGCAACCTTGTTGATGAAGGAGTGAAAGAGTGAACATACCCTGGCATGGCCAGGCCAGCGGGTGTGAGAGTGACCTGTGGATGCTCCTTGGGGAAAGAGTCGGAGCTTGGGGACGGAGGTGGAGGGCTGCACGTGGCATCACCCTATCACACCCCCCAGGCGTCCTGCACGCCTGGCCCTGCAAACCTGGCATGCACACTCAGTCTGCACACTCAGTCCTGCACACTCACTCTGCACACTCTGCACACACAGTCCTGCACTCAGTCTGCACACTCAGTCTTGCACACTCAGCCCACACTCAGTCCTGCACACTCAGTCCCGCACACTCAGTCCTGCAAACTCAGTCCTGCACTCAGTCCGCACACAGTCCGCACATTCAGTCCCACACACTCAGTCCACGCACTCAGTCCTTGCACTCAGTCCACACACTCAGTCCTGCACTCAGTCTGCACACTCAGTCCGCACTCAGTCCTGCACACTCAGTCCACACATTCAGTCCTGCACGCTCAGTCCACACACAGTCCTGCACTTAGTCTGCACCCTCAGTCCACACACTCAGTCCGCACACAGTCCTGCACTTAGTCTGCACCCTCAGTCCACACACTCAGTCCGCACACAGTCCTGCACTTAGTCTGCACCCTCAGTCCACACACTCAGTCCGCACACAGTCTGCACATTCAGTCCTGCACTCAGTCTGCACACTCAGTCCACACATTCAGCCCTGCACACTCACTCCACACACAGTCCTGCACTTAGTCTACACACTCAGTCCACACACTCACTCCGCACACAGTCCTGCACAGTCTGCAGACTCAGTCCTGCACTCAGTCTGCACACTCAGTCCACACATTCAGTCCTGCACTCAGTCTGCACACTCAGTCCACACACTCAGTCCGCACACAGTCTGCACACTCAGTCCTGCACTCAGTCTGCACACTCAGTCCAGACATTCAGTCCTGCACTCAGTCTGCACACTCAGTCCACACATTCAGTTCTGCACTCAGTCTGCACACTCAGTCCACACACTCAGTCCGCACACAGTCTGCACACTCAGTCCTGCACTCAGTCTGCACACTCAGTCCACACATTCAGTCCTGCACTCAGTCTGCACACTCAGTCCACACATTCAGTCCTGCACTCAGTCTGCACACTCAGTCCACACATTCAGTCCTGCACTTAGTCTGCACACTCAGTCCACACATTCAGTCCTGCACTTAGTCTGCACACTCAGTCCACACACTCAGTCCGCACATAGTCTGCACACTCAGTCCTGCACTCAGTCTGCACACTCAGTCCACACATTCAGTCCTGCACTTAGTCTGCACACTCAGTCCGCACACAGTCCTGCACAGTCTGCACACTCAGTCCTGCACTCAGTCCGCACACTTAGTCCACACATTCAGCCCTGCACACTCACTCCACACACAGTGCTGCACTTAGTCTGCACACTCAGTCCACACACTCAGTCCGCACACAGTCCTGCACAGTCTGCACACTCAGTCCTGCTCAGTCCGCACACTTAGTCCACACATTCAGCCCTGCACACTCACTCCACACACAGTCCTGCACTTAGTCTGCACACTCAGTCCACACACTCA